CGGGGGAGGGCCCCCGAACCTTCTTAGAGGGGCCCCCGAACGACAGGAGGGGCCCTTACATTTAGGTCTCCTCCTAACTTTTCGATAACCAGTCCGCCCCTGTGCGCCGCTACTGCAGTTTTGACCGTTAAGGCCGTAGTTTAAGGGCACTAAAGCCAGGATCGTATTTCGCAAAACGATAATCTTTTCATAATAATTAAAAATTAATTAGAAGGGGTGATTTAACTAAATAATAAAAGGAACTCAAATCGACAGTATAATGCCAAAATATTTGGAATGTCTCGTCATGTAAATACAGGACATTCGAAAACGCCTTCAATTGAGGCGTGATACCTCACGCGTTCCAGAGAGTTCAAATAGTTGTATCCCTGCGCCTTAGCAAGGTGATGGAAGTTAAATAATAAAGCAGCATCCCCACTTGTTTTTTTGGCTTTCCTGTGCCGCTACTGTAGTTTCGGCCGTTCAGGCCGTAGTTAAAGGGAGCTAAAGCCAGGATCATATTTCGCAAAACGATAATCTTTTCATAATAATTAAAAATTAATTAGAAGGAGTGATTTAACTAAACAACAAAAGGAACTCAAATCTACAATAAAATGCAAAAAACTAACGTAGTTTAAGGGCGCTAAAGTCAGGGTTGTATTTCCAAAATGGATAGTGTTTGCAGAAAAATTAAATATTCAGGAGCAGGTGTAATTTAACTAAATAATAAAGGAACTTAAATCGACAATATAATGCAAAAAAATTTGGTATATCTCGTCATGTAAATGCGGATGATTCGAAATCGCCTTCAATTGAAGTGTGATACCTCACGCGTTCCGGAGAGTTCAAATAGTTGTATCCCTGCGCCTTAGCAAGGCGATGGAAGTTTAATATTGAAGTAGCGTCCCCGTTTGGTTTTTCAGCTTTCCTGTGCCGCTACTGTAGTTTCAACCGTTAAGGCCGCAGTTTACGGGCGCTAAAGCCAGGATTGTACTTCGCAAAAATATAATTTTTGCAGAATAATCAAAAATTAAGAAGCAGGATTAATTTAACTAAATAATAAAAGGAACTCAAATCTACAATATAATGCAAAAAAAGTTGGAAAATCTCGTCATGTGAATACAGGAGATTCGAAAACGCCTTCAATTGAGGCGTGGTATCTCACGCGTTCCGGAGTGTTCAAATAGTTGTATCCCTGCGCCTTAGCAAGGCGATGGAAGTTTAATATTGAAGTTTCGTCCCCGCTTGGTTTTTCGGCTTTCCTGTGTCGCCGGGGGCGGACTGGCCATGGGGTCAGGGAGGCGATCGCCTCCTAACAATTTGCCGCGGAGGTCCCGAAGGGGCCCCCGCGGCGATTATTTTTTTGAGCAACCGATTTTTCCCCGTAATTTTTGAATCTCTTATCCTTTTCAATCACTAAAAGGCCCCGAATCCCTTGAAAATTTGTCTCTAAGAGACATGAAAGGTCGCCAAAAGCATATGTGATGAAGGCACCCCCAATGAATCCTGAGAATGGGTTATTTTGCAGTTCAAGTACTGTAGAATCCAACTCCAATAATGCCTACGTTTTTAAAATGTTTGAAATTTTCAAAATTTACCGGGGGAGGGCCCCCGGACCTTCTTAGAGGGGCCCCCGAACGACAGGAGGGGCCCTTACATTTAGGTCTCCTCCTAACTTTTCGACTACCAGTCCACCTCTGCTCGCATATCGTTCTGGCACAAAATATGGCGTCAATCGAACCATCTTACCGTCCGTCTGATTCGCTCCTTTTAATGAGGCAAAGCTCTGCCACTGCACATTGTGGATTTTTTTGCAATAAATATTTTTCCCTCACCGATAATAATACACGATATTGCTCTACACGTGCAACTGATTTAGTGCTTTGTTTTGACGTCCGAGATATTTGAATAAAGCAATTCGACGGTGAAACTACCAAACCACGTATCTCGGTTTGCGACGTCGCAGACTTCCTGTCATACTTTATTTTTTAAATGAAAAACTACTTAACATCCAGTCTTGAAAATTTCTGTGATTTTCCTCTTTGTGCGGAGAAAATTCCGTGAAAATTTCAAGGAATGATATTGATTTGGTCTACTTCAAGAAAATAAAACGTGAGCGTAGATTTCTAAACACCGCAAACGAGATACGTGGTTTGGTAGTTTCACCATCGAATTAGAATTTGTGACTCGAAGAGTATTTACTCAATCATTCACATTTTTTATTGGGTCCTCTTTTTGAAAATTTTGATTGATGCTTTACCCAAGGTTGGGTGTAGACCGTGCAAGTATGTATGTACAATTCGCTACTGCTGTACTGCCGTACTAATAAGGAAAAACGCCGTATGAACCTTCAGGCGTTGCTAAATTTTCTTTGACAATACACAAATTTCCTGGTAAACTTATGAATATTTCTCTTCCAATTTCTCAGATAATTATGTTCACAATTTCGTCTAAAGTTCCTAAAAATTTCAAGGAAAAATATTCATAACTTTTCTCATAAATGAACATTTTAACAAAGGAAATTTTGGTACCCTCGAATGTTCATACGGCGTTCTTCCTTAGCACGGCAGTATACATACAAGTGTATGCAAGTACAAGTAAATAGATAAAAACACATGCTGTTGTGTGCAACTGAAACAAAATGTAAAACGTGAATGGTTCGCAAAAGTGCAAAAATGTAGGTCAGAATGAGATCGATTAGTTTTTTGCCGCTTTATAATTCCCATTCATTCTTACGGCCCCCTACTAATGAGCATGCCCCATCTTTCCCACCTGCAGATAGTTCTGTTTGGTAAAAATACTTCCAATTTATCCATCTAAATACAATTCTGTGACACAAAGTTTACGGATCCTTAGCTTTCGATTTTCACTTTGGATGCCGTGTTACGGAAAAACGCCGTAAAAGCTTTCGGACGCTGCCAATTTTCCTTAGATATAACAACAATTTCCGGGCAAACTTATGAATATTTTTCCTCAAATTTTTCAGATACTTGTGTTTGTAATTTCACCTAAAGTTCCTGGAAATTTCAAAGAAGAGTATTCATAACTTTTTCTCAGGAATTAACATTTTAACAATAAAAAATTGGGAACGCTCGAATGTTCATACGGCGTTTTTCCTTAGCTCGTCAGAGCACCCCACCGCACCGTCGCACGGTGGATCGAGTCAATGGGGGTGGTTGGAAATAATGTTGAAACTTCAAAAGCTCATAACGTTGAGGTTTTACGAGTGAATCCATTGGTTTTCTCGTGAAAATTTCTTCCAGAGGCACCCCTTAAAATTTAAAATTTACACCAAAATTTCCAATTTTAGTTAAAAATGTCATGTCCGACCTGTCCGATTGACTCGATCCACTGTGCGTCGGGCAAGTCCACTTTGCGAGCGCTAACCTCAAAAATGATCCACAACATCAGAGAGTACGAAAAGATGCCCGAAAAAATTAACATGATTGATCGAACAATTTCAACTAGGTAGAGACATCATCTCAGCCGAGCCAATCAGCGATCGGGATTCATTTCTCGAGTCTATGTGGCTTAGTGTGAGTTATGCTTTGAACCAAGGCGTTGTATAATAATTGATTGTTTATTTAACTTCTTAAGCTTTTCGACCGGGTGATCATCATCAGGGTTTCACACAATTTAATACGATCACATTTGGTAAGGTTTCCGATAATTCAACAACACTAACAATATTAACAACGTTCACATAACGCCTAAGGTTCATGAAATAACTCACACGAAATGGGCTGCATTTTGCAATTCGGAGATATTAAGTTTAACTCATCTAAAAAAACACTTATGTGCATAGGGAAACTTCGGGCACATACGTTGTTTTTAATCCGCGCCGAAATTTATATAGTTCTTAATCGTAAAATGTAGTCTTTGGCTACCATTTTTCACTGATTTTTATTTTTTAATTTATCGCCCTTCGTCGTTGCCGATTTTGAGACTTGAGTCCCGATGCTTAGTTTCATTTTATGAAATTTTGCATCTCTGAGCCTCCTGAAGGAAAATAGGTGATAATAAGGAAGAACTATGATTACGGCTCCAAATCCTCATATTCTTCGACTTTGATCGAGCGTTCAAAGGTTCTTTCGATATGAAGATAATATAATTCGCTCTCTGAGGAGTTGAATTAGTTAATCGTGGTAAAAACTGACGAAGCGCATTGCTTTTCTCCGCTCATGCCACTTTCAGACTGTTGAGGCACGGATCTGCGGAATAAAAGCTCCTTCATTGCGCCGGGTAGGCAATTTGATAACAGAGAAGTTAGAATAGTTGCTCGCGCTAAAAGACAACGGCGCGCATACATCGGCACTCGCCACATAATTCTCAATTAAACGCATTTTTCGGTAAAAGGGCGTATGAGACTTCCGATGCTATTACGATTGTGCATCGGAGTTCTCTGTAGTTGTAAGTAATTTGCCCGCCAGGTCTGCTACAAGTGTTTCCCTGAATCCGGTCCGAGTTTTCCTTCACCATTGTAAGGAAGTAAATCGACAGTGAATGAATTTCATCCGCCGCAAACGCTGGGAAAATTGCACAATCTCAGCAATATGCGAGCCTCAGCCTCATATTCCAGCCTCATATAATAGTTGCTGGCATGGAAGCGTTATCCTGGGAACTTTTATACTTCAAAGCTTTTTCTCTCAGAGCATCGATAAGTTTACGACCTGTTGGTCTTTGCGAGGGTGAATTCTCTGAAGTGGTTGTTACAGGTACAGACTTCTCAAGTAGCTGTTGATGATTATAGGCTAAGACTTGCTTTAATACTTGCGGTGCTGACGATCTATCGTATCGAACTCCAAGGATGATAACAACCCCGTCTTTGTTTCCCGTCAGTGTAACATCCCTTGTAGATCCCTCCATCGTATATTCCGTTTTCCTTTCCCTGAAGGCCCCTTCAATCATCGTCGGGAAAATAAAAAGTGGTGCCTGGAGCTCTGCCTCATTCCTGCGGGGAAATTCCTTTCAAAAATCCGCGCTGTGCAGTTGAGGAAGGCCCTAAAATGAGCCTCATTTCCGGTCACATTCAACAGTGCTTCAACGTAGTCTTTCACCACCCTTCCAGTAGTAAGGCCCGCGCTTTGTGTCATACAATAGACCTGTCAATCAAACTTAACACAAAGGGATACCGCCGTGGGTGGTCCCCCGTGGGTGGTCCCAGGGGGATGTTTTGTTAAGGGACCTGTCAATCAAACCTAAGTGGTTTGGACAGTGAACCGTAAGTACTGTGTTAATGGATCTAAAGGTCATTGACCTCGCACTGTTTGTATACTTCTGAATTTATTATTTATTTGGCACAATGATTAATTTAATTGGGCTGACCAACAAACCTAAGATGTTGGGTACTGAACCGTAAGTACAGTGTTAATGCAAGTGTACACACAGGACCTCACATTGTATGTGTACAAAACCCATTGAAACGGGATTCTTCGATAGATCAATACTTATCGATTTTCGAATAATTGAATCGATTATTTGACTCTTCAAATACTCCATACCGCAAAACAAGTGCAATCTACCCAGGATGTTTACTTTTTCTTGAAAAATACACATCCTCGTTAGAATGCACATGTTTTAAGCCGACGAAAACCCACAATTGGGACCTATCAATCTTGAAATATATTTATTTATTTGTGTTTTATTTTTTAATTGGCAGATCGATTAATTTAATAGGACCTGGCAATCAAACCTAAGTGGTTTGGACAGTGAACCGTAAGTACTATGTTAATGCATCTAAAGGTCATCGACCTCGCACTGGTTGTATACTTCTGAATTTAGTTTTTAATTGGCACAACGATTAATTTAATAGGACCTGTCAGTCAAATCTAACTGGTGGGGAAGTGAACCGTAAGTACTGTGTTAATGCAACTGAAGGTCATTGACCTTACCTCCTTGATGTGTACAAAACCATTTTTAAACGAGATTCTTCGAGCTATCGATACTATCGATTATCGATTATTTGAATCTGCATAAGAGGAAGGCCGAGGTCACTGCCATCATAAGAAAGTGTTTACTAGTCTCCAAGTGGAGCTGTCATTGACCTTACCCCCTTGTTGTGTACAAAACCATTTTTAAACGAGATTCTTCGATCTATCGATACTATCGATTATTGATTTATTGAATGGGTTATTCGATTATTTGAATCTACATAAGCGGAAGGCCGAGGTCACTGCCATCATAAGAAAGTGTTTACTAATCTCCAATTGGAGCTGTAATATGGGGCGATCCACTGAGAGCGATCTAATTTTGTGAAAAAACTAATTTTACAAAAAATAATGCTTGTTGAATTTTTAAAAAAGAGTTTAAAGAGTAGTGTAAGGTCACTTACAAGTTGAAGGTTTCAAAATTAAAAACGGGAAGAGGGTTTAAAATGTAATTTCTAAACATTTTTTCCTATCTTGCATTTTTTGCTTTTGCAAAACTAAGTGTACACTTACCAATGAAAATATCTTGAAACTTAGGAAATGCACGTAAACAGAACACCGAAGGAGAGGGAGGCGCCAATTCGATGACCTATACAATGTTCAATTTTTAGTCTGCTTTGGTCAGCAAAACATTCTTCCAATACTATACAAATAGTACATTGTACAGAAAACTAGGTGATATGGCACGTAACTAAAAGGGGTTTAATTGGACTGCATATCGCAATTGGGAGCTATAAATTCTGGCACATTTGGAAAAAACACGTGTTTGCATAGGGAAACTAAGAGCAAATACTTTTTTTAAACCGGCGTGGAAGTTATAGTTCCTAAGTGCAAAATGTAGTCCAAATGATAACTGTCATTCATGCATTCATCACTGAAATCTAAAGGAATACGGGACTCTTACAAAAGGGCTATTCAAATTCGGTATTAAGTGAGTAATGTTTTTAGAGAAATGTTACTGTAAAGAATCCTCAAATTCGAATGTATTAAAACAATGCGCATCCTGCGTCGTGGGAGAGCTGAGTGCTCCTAGACAGTGAGGAAGAGAGAAATTCATTTGCAGCTATTCAAAGACTAGACCAAATCGTTTAAAACAAATAGCGCCAGACTGTCTGGAGAACACGACCCTTTGACGGGCGCGGACCAGCAATGTGAACTCCCGCCTGCAAAGGTAACAAGGGCCCTCACACAAAGGCGAGCCATTCATTGATAGGCCACCCACTCATAATGAGCCAAGACAAAAGTGAGCCACTCATTGACTGGATTCCACCTTTTTGTGAGACAAGAGGATTCTACCAGAAGAATCAGAGACCCCGTTCTTCTGATATTAAAACAGGCATTGATGAACTTCTTCGAATTTACATAGGGTGGCCTGATACTCACAAATCAACACAACGGTGCCGAACGGTGCTAAAATTTCATTACATTAGTGCCAGTACTGTTAGGCAAAGGGTCTTAATAAGGAATGATCACCTGTTGTAAGGGGGGAAATCGTTAAAGAACTGGATGTTTATGGGTACTGTCAAGACGAATATTTTTCCTTCATAAAACGATAGCAGAGAGAATGTTGTTCATAAAATCTACATTGGCAAATTGGAGATTTCTTAAACCCTCGCAACTCTGCTGATTGATACATGAAACGAAAGATAAAGTGAACGAGCGGATAACAGAGAGATTCTATTGATTGAAACGTGTGGTACTTGTAGGCTGAGAAGGAAAATAAGTGGCACCAGAGACTCGTGAGTTGTCGATAGTTGGACTGCATTTTGCACTAAGGACCTATAAATTCTGTCTCATCTGAAAAACACATATGTGAATGGGGAGACTAATGGCACATACGTAGTTTTTAAACCGAGCAGGAATTTATAGCTCCAAATTGCAAAATGTACTTCAGTTGAGATGTTACTATTACACTGTATGCCTATTGCAACTACCACCATCCATCTGTAAGAGCGTTTAATGAAAACTCGATATCTAGTTAGTGCTCTCAGGTTCAAAACGTAACATAATCACAGCAAAAAATCAAGAATCATTTAGAGACTTTAATGCAGCGCAAGAAAAGTAGGCGTCACCCGCTAACAAAAAAACCACCAGTTTGAACCAATACAAACTTGCTCCCTTTTCCCTTAGGTACCATGGAATACGAAAGAAGGAACATTCATTGCTTTACACGAAACTAAATGATGTCTGAGCAACAGGAGGCTGAAAATGTTGCACCAAACGTTGGATGTCCCTGCCCGCCACCCCGTGCGATTAAAAGAAAGCCGAAGATCACCAGAACAACGAAAATATTACATTTGAAAATAGATGAATTTGATGTTGAATTTGAAAATAGACTTTCAATAAATTGTAAGTTTAAACCCTTAAATTGAGAAATATTAAAAAACGAATACTCATTGTAGAAGTATTCCAACCAAACAACAAAATTATCTTTATAGGGGGACAGTGAGATTGGTTATATGCAATGCAAAGAAGAATTGCAACCTATTTCAATTTAACAACATAAACTAACAATGAACGGGGGCCCCTTCAAATAACCCCCAGACAACAAGCACAACTCTCACTGGAGGAGAAAAATTTTTACTATGGAAATGTTACACAGGACAAATGAAAACTTCGAAACGAGGCAAACAGAAAAGTTAAAAATGAAAAAAAGAAGAAGAGACAAAAAACAAACGAAGAGACGAATAAGCAAAGAGAAAACTCAGAAAGGAAAAATCATAAAGGAAAACGGAAAAGTTAAAAATAAAAAAAGAAGAGAGAAAAATAAGAGAAGAGAAAAAACAGAATGGGAAAAGAAAAGAGAAATAAATACAATCAGAAAAAGAAAAAGTGAAAAAAAGAAACATTATTAAACACAAAATTAAACAAGAAAAAGAAAAAGCGAAAGGAAGAAATTTAACAACAAAATAGAAAACGAAAAATAATTATAAGAGAAAGTAGAAGGAATGATAAATAAAAAAAGAGCTCAGAAAAATCATCAAAAAAAAAAAATCAAACAAAAGGAAGTTAAGTTTTTAAAATCATCTATTAAAAAAACTCGTTAAGACAAGAAAAAAACGAAAGAAACTTAATAATACTACAAAAATAAAGAAAAATTTAAGAAACTTAACAGTACTATAACTAAAATATCATCTCATCTAAGAAAAAATCCCGATCTTCCTCCTCGTCGGGATAGGGGAGGACAAGAGGCTCTTCAACCTGCTCTTCGTTAGACTCGTACACCTCCTCCTCATCCTCGGAGCTGTACATTTCATCTTCCAGGCCTTCGTAGGGCGGAAACTCCTCCTCCCAGCGGGCTCTGGCCTCTTCCTGCTCTTGCAACTGTAAGAACACAAAGAAAAAGAATAATTTTCCGACCGAAAATCTTCTACTTCAAAACTGTATGTTCATTGCCTGCATGTACAAACAACAATCATAAAGAGGGCATCTTCGAGAGTAATATACCATACAAGGGTTCAAAATTCTCAGAAGAATACTGAGAAACTTCTGCACTATACTACAGTGCTAACGAAAAAATACCACATGAACCTTCAGGCGTTGCCAATATAACCATAACGTTCCACAAAACAAAGATGTTATTAAAGGAAATTTAACAATTCTTGAATGTTCATAAGGTGTTCTTTCTTAGCACTGTTGTATACTACAAAAAAAAAAAATAAATAAATAAAAAACGCACTCATAGTTTAAAATGAAATTCTGAGTAGGCACTAGGTATGTAACAGAAACATGAAAAAATTGGCGAAGAGTTTGAAACTAACCGGTGAAGATGACCATCCTCTGATAAAAAGGACGAGGTTTTTAATTTGAAAAATGCAAGAAGAAGGTACCTTGTTGGGGAGCTAAAACCCTCCGTTTTATAGTGTGTACCCCTCGTTTCATTTTTTGCTCAGTGCGAAAAAGAAATTTACCGCTTCATTTTTTTTTTTTTTAAAAACTGCAACAATAGGGTTTAGTAGTGAAACCAATGACATGTTGTGTGCCACTGAAATCGAACACCTCTGAATTTGGAGTTACAATTTTAAAATATACTGTCCTACCTTTTCTTTTCTCTAAGCAACAAAAAGAAATATTTAAAAATAAGAAATTAGTGACTTTCAGCACGAGAAAAAGGTTTCTTATTCTACTAAAACACACCTCGAGGATGAATATGTAACTTGTTTTGATAACCGTAACAATTTTTGCCGGGAGAAGGAAAATACATCTATTACGACGACGCGTGAAAAGTTTGCTAGCTTTCAGACCGATATCTAATATTGCTTTTAGCATGGCAACCATTCAACACGCCTCTGGTATGGAATTTCCTAAAAACGAGAGTAGCAATGGGGAAAAATCGTCAATCTAACGAACCCTAAGGAAACAGGAGGAGGATAATAGGTTCTAGCAGACTTGAGATTCCAACCTTCAACAAGAAGATATTTGACAAAACTATAAAGAACCACCTGTATTTTTGACGAGCTCTAAAAGAACCACACCGAAGCCTGGGTGATGGGGGGGGGGCGCTTGAATGTTCGAAAAGCTAAATATTTGTAGAAGAGGCGTGGATGGGGTAAAGAATCGTTTATCTATGTGTGAGAGGGTGTGTGTGTGTGTGTAATGACAAAGTATGATTCAACAAACGATAAAATATTTACCAGGACGGAAATTTATTGACATCACACAACGCATAAAATTTTTACCCACTGTTCAAAATAGGGAGCAGTTTAAACCGAAAGAAATAAGAGAAGAGACAATGTTTACGGGTAGTAGGGAAGCGAGAAAGATCCTATTGCGAAAATTCCAGTATAAGGAGCTTAGGTAAAGAATCGCTTAGTTAGGTGTGCTTAACGACATATCGATTGCCTACTGGATACTTTTTTTTTATTAAGGCTATAACTGGATTTTCCTGAACACAGAGCATAAAAATCTTGCCCAAGCGTCATAGCCCTCGAGAGGGCGAATATCGCCTTCCCAATTTGTGACCTCCCATGGGGGATCATAGATAGGCCACCGGGCGTATCTCTCCGCCCTCTCCGCTTCTTCCTGGGGGGTGTCAATGGCTGGTCTGAGCACCACAGGCTCTTCAGGGTAATAGAGTGGAGCTCGATTTTCGGGTATGCGTTGGCAGAGGTGGGCAGGATTCTCGATCACGACCCTGGAACACCGCTCTCGCCAACGCATCACAATTTGGCACGAAGGAACGTGATCCGGCATTTTTAAATATCTGAAAACATAGCACACAACAAAACCATAGAGTACATGTATAGGAGGAGAGTGCAAAAGTGACTCAGAGCAGTCAGCTCCGTCTTCTCAGAAGAGAGCTGGCCGTCAAAACATATTACCATAATGAAATGACACAGAGTGTTATAAAATTGTACCTGTAAAAGTTGTCAAAAGGGTCTTTTTTTCTCAAGACTACACAAAATTTGGAGTTCTCTGGGGGGTGTAACTGAGCTAATCTTGCGATTGCTATGACTCCCTTACGAACTCTAGCAAGGACGATCTCATGAATAGCTAAAGAAAAATTTGAGTCCTGTTCCTGATAAGGAAACGCGTAATGTAAAAGTCTAGGAGCTGAGGGTAAAACACAACTTTCCTCGGCTGTATTATAACTGCACAAAAAATAAAATTGAAAAATTAAAAAAAAAAAAAAAGAACCGTTGCAGCTGATTAGCGCACTACGTTACACATCCAATTCATGTTCGAGGTTTAAAAACTTGAGAGGGGAGGAGACAGTGGAACCAACTGACTCACTTTGTAAAACTTTGTTCGTTAAATGAATACCAAAGACGGACGTTGCCCTAGTTTTTCCAATGAGAAGAAACCTCCTTGTAGTATTTAAAAAATTGTAACGACCTAAAAATTTCGTGATTTAAGTTTTTAGTTAGAAAACAGTACCAAGCCCAGGAGTTAGAAATGTTGGTTCTACAGAAAAGTACAAACAGAAGCTTCTTGTTCTGTCACGAGGTGTAGGAAGCGGTTCTGTAGGTTCAGACGAAACATTTTCTCCGAGAAAAAACCTCCTACATCCCGAATTTCTACTCAAGATGTATCGCGCATTATTTGCCACTCTTATACTTATGTTTCTGCTCCAATTGTCTGTTACAAGAGAACAACATTTTTCAGTAAAGGATCAATATTGCCAGCGCTTTTTAGAAACCGCACATCTGTCATTACCCTAACTATGAGGATACGTGGTTCTATGAATGCCATGACCATATTAATTCGTTAGTGCAAAATGTAACGCTGTTCAAAAAATAAAAATGACTAGATGTACATTCGCACTCCACCCATATTCTAGGTTTTGTCGAAATGATTTTCTCAAAGAAAATAATTAGGTAGGGATCGAGTAACTCTTGGAGATGTAGCGCTCGCTATTCGGCACTCTCATACCGATGTCCCTTCTCTAGTTGTCTGTTACAAGAGAACTACATTTTTCAGTAAAGGATCAATATTTCCACCACATATTAGAAACCACACATCGGTCATTTGACTAACAATGTAGATACGTGGTTCTATGAATGCCATGACCATATTAATTCGTTATTGCAAAATGTAACGCTGTTCAAAAAAACAAAAATGAGTAGATGTACATTCTCACTCCACCCATATTCTAGGTTTTGTCGAAATGATTTTCTCAAAGAAAATAATTAGGTAGGGATCGAGTAACTCTTGGAGTTGTAGCGCTCGCTATTCGGCACTCTCATACCGATGTCCCTCCTCTAGTTGTCTGTTACAAGAGAACTACATTTTTCAGTAAAGGATCAATATTTCCACCTCATATTAAAAATCACACATGCAGCATTAGACTAACTATGTAGATATGCGGTTCTATGCATGTCATGAACATTAATTCGTTATTGCAAAATGTAACACTGTTCAAAAAACAAAAATGACTAGATGTACATTCTCACTTCATCCATATTCTAGGTTTTGTCGAAATGATTTTCTCAAAGAAAACAATTAGGTATAGATTGAGTAACGCATGGAGATGTAGCGCTAGCTATTTAGCGCTCTCATGCAGATATCTCTTCTCCAGTTGTTTGGTACAAGAGAACTACATTTTCCAGTAAAGGATTAATTTTTTCACCGCATGTTAGAAACCACACATGTGTCATTTGACTTACTATGTAGAAATATGGGTCCATGAATGACCAGAACATAGAAACGCGAAATTGCAAAATGTAACAGTTTCTTTTTTTAAATAAACAAAAAATGACTAGTTGGACATACACACGCTCACATCTGGAGTACTGGACAGAAGCTTTTGCTAATGAACGGTTTTTTAACAATTAAAAATTTCAGTTTTTCTATAGGTTGAAAAAAATAGGGAAACAAGAAAAATATAAATAAAGTCACACCTTAAAAAGGTAACACTTTCGCACTGTA